TTAAACGGGGGTGTGGGGGGGGGGATGCCCAGAGACACCTTGTGAAGCAGGAAGCAGCCACAGGAGAGGGGTCGCTGTCCCTCTGCCCCACCACTGCCCCCACTGCTTGGGAACCCTCAGCCCTGCCCCACAGGTGCAGGGACACCTGGCAGAGCAGTGAAGGGTTACAAGCTCAGGGTGTCCCTTCCACTCAGGCAGGTGCCATCAGGGAGGTGACATCCGGAGTGTTTGCTCCCCAGGCTCCTCCCCCAGCCAGGTGGTACGAGTGCTGACTCCCAGAATGATGATCCCAGAGTCTCGGTCCACCAGGGCTTCAGGCGGGGACGCAGACCCACACGGCAGGGGTGCGGTGCCCTGGGCAGCAGGAGTTCACAGCTGCAAGACCTTTGAGCAGCACCATTATATCAACAGGTAACAAAAAAGCAGATGGTCTCCATTGGAAACAAAATTGCAACTGTCAGTGGGAGTGCAGGTTTGAAGAGCCAGGGAGGTATTAACTTACAATGTGAGACGGAGGAAAGAGGAGGCACCAGGGGCAGGTGCCGTCTAATAGTTGAAACAAAGAACAAATACATGGAACACAGAACAGAACGGCTATCTAGTGAAGATGTCCTTGAGGATACAGTTGAGGACCCGTCTTACACAGAAGAAGAAACTGGGACATAAAAGGAACAGTGGACACCAGTGGAGGCTGGAAGCAGGGACGTCGCGTCCAGACCACAGACGTCCAACGTTTCTCAGTGTAAGAAAAAAACTGAAAGACGAGGTTGACAGGCTCCACGGAACGCACAGGGGCATAGAGCTTAAAAACACAGATGGAGAAATCAAGGTGAATCCTTAAGATATCAAAGCTCTGAGAGAGGGGCGGGGGGCAGGTCACAGACATAGAAACAAGTGTCAGGCAGACCCTACAGTCTGTCATCACGACTCTGGACGCAGAAGCGACAGCGAATCGCGTTTTATATCCGACACACCGCCATTAAGTGTGAGGACAGGAGAAATACTCCCGGGCACTGAGGCTCCGGAAGACACACCTCCAAAGAAAAGCACTTCGAGAACATTTTGGAGGAAGACCTCATGGGGGAAAGAAGGAATCCCGGCGTTGGAGACACCCACCAAGTGATGGGGAGCAAATACCGTCGTTCCTTACCTTCTCGGTGGGCACCCCGGGCCTTAGATCTAGCAACAAAACTGAGCCATAAACACAGAAGAAGGGGAAGGGGTGGAAATAAACCAAGAAGCCAGAAAAGGATTCAACTGTGAGTCAGTGATTCTCAAGCAAGGGTGGCGCTGCCCTGTCCCCGGGGGTCATGACCGGAGGGCGTACTGGTGTCTCGCAGGGGGACCCTGGGATGTGCCTCCACTCCCACAACAGGACAGCCCTGCCCCCGGTAATTATCCCAGAAAAATGTCGCTAATGCCAAGGTTGAGGGACTCCAGTTTAAACAGATGTTCACAGGGGTGCCTGGGTGGCTCAGTCAGTTGAGCGGCTGACTTCGGCTCAGGTCATGATCTCACAGTTCGTAGTTCAAGCCCCGTGTCGGGCTCTGTGCTGGCAGCTCAGAGCCTGGAGCCTGCTTCAAATTCTATGTCTCCCTCTCTCTCTGCTCCTCCCCGGCTCATGCTCTGTCTCTCTCTCCTTCAAAAATAAATAAAAACATTTAAAAAAATAAAATAATAATAATAAAATAAAAAATAAATAAATAAATAAATAAACAGATGTTAACGTTTGCCAGTTAAACAGAGAGGCGGATTCGCCAGCTAAAAGTCAAGGTAGGTTTTACTACAACAGACAAGGCTAAGAGCTAACAGGTAAAAAGTGAGTTCAGAAAAAGCTGTTCAAACAAAGTAGAGCGGCTGTCCCATCAGAACAAAAAGATGTTAAACCAAAGAAAGTTGTGTTGTAGGCAGGGAAGTCGCCACAGGATGACACAGATAAATTAGCCAGGAGTCCTTACTCCGTTCTAAACACACAGGCACCTAAGGAGACGGCTTTCAACTGTTTTATTTGAAAATTAATATGATCACATGAATGTTTACCCTCTTTTCATTGATAGCTAACCAGAGAAAAGCCAGCAGGGATTTAGGAAATCTTGAAGCTCAAAACTAACCAGCTTACCCATCCAATTCACATGGGGAAATTACACACGGCACATCCTTCTCAAGGAACCTACAGAACAGTTAAAAGTTGATCGTGTATCAGGTGGTAAGAAAGCCTCAGGGGGTGCCTGGGTGGCTCAGTCAGTGGAATATATAACTCTTGATTTCAGGGTTGTGAGTTCAAGTTCCACATTGGATACAGAGATTACTTTTTAAAAATCTCGGGGCATCTGGGTGGCTCAGTCGGTTGAGCATCTGATTTGAGCTCAGGTCATGATCTCACAGTCTGTGGGTTCGAGCCCCATGATGGTCTCTGTGCTGATAGCTCAGAACCTGGAACCTCCTTCGGATTCTGTGTCTCCCCTCTCTCTCTGCCCCTCCCCTGCTCTCGCTTTGTCTCTCTCTGTCTCTCAAAAATAAATGAACATAAAAAGAAAAACTTTTTTGAAAACAAAATCTACAAATAGAGCAAATATAACTAATCACATGAGTATGTTAAAGCCAAAAGAGAAATACTTTAACACAGACACTGTAAGAGCAGTTTACAGAACTCAACACAATAAAAACTGCGAATAAGTTAAGAGTATAAGAGGACTTCCATTACCCAATAATGTGTGACCATGGAAACACCAAACCCGCCAAGCACCGTCAGAGGTGGGGAGATGTTAGGAGTAGTTTACCACTTCCTTCACCAGCCTGAGAGAGGGTGGCCCGCACAGACAAAAACGTCGAGACATAACAATCGGAAGACATGGGATTTGCAGATGTTCTGATCCTTTACATGGAAACCATAACAGAGTCTGCAGGCAAGTAAGTTACTGTGAGTAAGGAAGGTATTTACCAACGCAGCTGGATGTAAGTCTACACAACGGTGAATAGTCACAGAGGATTATCAATTTTTAACAACTTTTGAAAACCTGGAAATGACCTAATTCCCCTCGAGAGGAGCTTGGAAGAATAAACTGGGTGTATTTGCAGGGTCCCCCTCTTGCAGCCACATGCACGACGCATCACTCTGTCATGTGAGGTTCAGAAACCAAGTCTCTGAAAATCACATGCTGCATGGGAACCTTTTTAGGATGGTAAAAAAAAAAAAAAATGGGGGTGGCCTGGGTGGCTCAGTCGGTTGAGCGTCCAACTTCGGCTCAGGTCATGATCATGCAGTTCGTGAGTTCGAGCCCCATGTCAGACTCACTGCTGTCAGCAGAGAGCCCGCTTCAGATCCTCTGTCCCCCTCTCTCTGCCCCTGCCCCACTTGCACACTCTCAGAAATAAGTAAACCTTAAAAAAAAAAAACAACCAGAATCATCTAAAATGAAAACATACTTGAATAAATAAGTACAGATGAGGTACAACTATATCCACAGTGAAGCCATGAGCAACGCGTTCCCTATAAATTATTGCCCGAATGGTGGTTTTCAAGTTGCAGGGCGAGACCATGGACCCCTTCTTGACAGCCAAACGCAGACCCGCAAGGGGGGTGTGCCATCACCCGGGGATTATGATGAGCCTTGAAGCTGATGAACACAGGTTCAAAGACAGCAGGGAGAGAAGCTGGGGCCATGAGCACAGGTGACTCCAGATGCTGGCCCCGCATGTCTGCAGCCACCGTGTGCCCAGCCATTCCCACCTGGCTTCCTGGCTCCTGTGCCTCCCCTGGAATCCAACCTCTGCCCCCCGAGTCTTCTTCCTACAGCCCAACTCTGTCAGCTTTTTTTTTAAGTTTATTTATTTATTTTTGAGATAGAGAGACACCTCGAGTGGGGGAGGGCCAAAGAGAGAGGGAGAGAGAAGATCCCAAACAGGCTCCGTGCCGTCAGCACAGAGCCCGACTCGGGGCTCGAACTCATGAACCGTGAGATCATGACCTGAGCCAAGATCAAGAGTCAGACGCTTAACCGACTGAGCCACCCGGGCCCCCAACAAAGTCTTTTTTTAACAGCTCTGTGGAGACAGACAACCCATAGCACACAATTCACCCATTTAAAGCGCACCATTCAGTATCGACAGCAACACATGGAGTCGTCCCCACTCATTCTAGAACACTGTCGTCACTTGATAAGAACCCCTGTGCCCTTTAGCTGTTATCCGCCAGCCCCCTCTTCCCAGCCCTACGAGACCACAAGCTACTTGCGGTCTCTGCCACTTTCCCCGTCATGGACTTTCACATGAACGGGATCACGTAATGTGAGATGGTTTATGATGGGTCTTTTTGAGCATACCGTTTCCAGGTGCCTCCGTGTTGTGGCGTGTTTCAATACTTCATTCCTTTCTGCGGCCAACGGATGCACCATATTGGGTTTGCACATTCGGCTACCGATGAGCTTGGGTAGTTCCACCTTCGGGCCATTAGACATAACACATCTGAGAACACCCGGGCACAAGTGTTTGGCAGACACGGATTTCACTTCTCTCGTGTATCTATCTACCTGGAAGGGAACTGCTGGGTCCTATGGGAATTCTATGTTTGATCATTGGAGGACCTGCCAGACTGGTTTCCAAAGTGGTTGCACCATTTTACATGACTACCCTCGAGGTGCACGACTTCTGCACATCCCCACCAGCACTCGTCGCCTGGTGTTTTGACCACAGCCAGCCTAACGGGTGCAAAGTGGCATCTCACTGGGGTTTCGATTTGCATTTCCCTGATGACTAATGATGTTGAACATCTTTTCATGGGCTAATTGGCTGGTTGCGTGTCTCCTTTGGAGAAAAGTCTATTGACGTATTTCGCTCAATTTTGAATTGGGTTGTCTTCACACTACAGAGTTGAGGGGGCACCTGGGGGGCTCAGTCAGTTAAGCATCCGACTCTTGATTTTGGCTCAGGTCATGATCTCACGGTTCATGGGTTTAAGCTCCGTGTTGGTCTCTGCACGGACAGCACGGTGCCTGCTTGGGATTTTCTCTCTCCCTCTCTCTTTGCCCCTCCACCACCTGATCTCTCTCAAAAATAAACATTTAAAAAAAATCTACCACTGAGTTGTCAGAGTTCCTTATATATTCTAGATACCAGTGTTATCAGATTTGTAATTTGCAAATATTTCCCCCCGTTCTGTGGGTTCTTCTTTCATTTTCTTGATGGTGGCCTCTGAAGCACGGGAATTTTAAATTTTGATAAAATTTGATTTATCTTTTTAGTTTTGTCACTTGTGTTTTTGGTGTTGTATCTAAGAGTCTTGTGTTAAGTCCAAAGTTATGAAGATTTACTGCTATGTTTTCTTCTAAGAATTTTATATTTTTAGCTCTTATGTTTAGGTCTTTATTGACTTTGAATTAATCTTCCATATAGTGTGAGGTAGGGGTCCAATGTCATTCTTCTACATGTGACTATCCAGTTTTCCCAACCACATTTATTGAAAAAACCTATTTTATCCTCATTAAATGGTCTTCCAACCCTCATTGAAAATCATCAGTGTTTGGGTTTGTTAATGGCCTCTCATTTCTATCACATTGATCTATATGCCTGCCCTTACTCCAGTAACACTGATTACCATAGCTTTGTAGTAAGTTTTGCAATCAAGAGGTAGAATCCTACAGCTTTGTTCTTTCTCAGGATCGTTTGGGCTTTTCTTGGCCCTTTGCGATTCCATGTAAACTTTAAAATCAGCTTGTCAGTTTCCACAGAGAAGTCAGCTAAGATTCCAGAAGGGATTGTGTTTAAGCTGTAGGTTAGTTGAGGGTGTTTAATGCTGACAATGTCAAGCCTTCTATTCCATGAATATGGTATGTTTTCCATTTATTTAGATCTTTAATTTCTTTCAACAGTATTTTGTAGTTTTTATTTTGTGCTTCTTTTGTTAAATGCACCACTAAGTATTTTATTTTTTTAATGCTAAAAAATGAGTGAGATTGTTTTCTAAATTTTATTTTGGGGTTGTTTGTTACAAGCATACAGAAATACAATTGATTTTTTGTATATTGATCTTGCATCCTGCAACCTTGCTAAACTCACTGAATAGTCTTTTAGTGGGTTATCTAGAATTTTCTATATGTAAGATCATATCATCTTCGATAGAGGTAGTCCTATTTTGCCTTTATCTGAATACCTTTTATTTATCGTTCTTGCCAACTGATAAAACCTCTAGTAGAATGTTGAATTGAGGTGGTGGGAGCACACATCCTTACCTTGTTTCCTGTCTGTGGGGGAAGGCACACAGACTTTTCCCCATTAACTACACTGTCAGCTGCGGGATTTTCCTAGCTCCCTTTTGTCAGCTTGAGGAAGTTTTTTCTATGCTTTGTCTGTTGAGATTTATTTTGTTTGCTTTGGTTTTGTTTTACCGTGAAAGGGTATTGGGTATTATCACATACTTCTCCTGAGTCCGTTGAGATGACCATGTGATCTTGGTTTTTTATTCTATTGATATGATTTATTACATTAATTGGTGTTAGGATGTTGGAATGACCTTGCATTCCTGAGATAAATCACACTTAGTCATAGTGCAGGATAATTTCAATCGTTAATATTTTCATGTGTTGCCAGGTTTAGCTTACTAGGGTTTGGTTGCGGATTTTGTGTCCATTGTCTTTTAAGATAATATGAAATTGGATGCTGAGTTCACAGGTCACTCCTGGGGGCTTGGCAGAGAGAGGATGGCACCCATGGGGCACAGGGTGGAGGGAGAGACCCAAATGGAAGAGCAGGAAAGGGGACTGACAGAAGGGGTCTGGGAGGCTCTGGGGGCAGGCCAGACTGCAGAGGGTGGGGGTTGAGATAGGGAGACTCTGCCTTTTCCCACAGCCAAGGGAGGGGGCCTCCCAGGAGACAGGGTGGAGGCAGCCAAGAAGCCAGGTGGGACCCATGGGGGTGGGTGAGATATGGAAGGAAGAGCGTGCAGGGCAGAATCAGGAAAAGCAAGTGAGGAATAGTTGATGGAACGAGGGATCCAAGGAGCAGAAAAGCCCCACACGCTCAGGACTCAGCCATCCACACCAAAGGGGCCAGCAGGGTGCCCACCTGAGACAGTGAAGCCCCGAAGACCCTGCAGATGATGGGGACAGCACAAGACAAAGGCAGCAGGGGAGGAGGGGAAATGAAGGAAGTATTGGTGTCCCGCATGTAAGATGGGGGAGCCCTGGCCTGCTCATGGAGGCAGGGAAGGGGCAGATCATCAGAGGTCAGGCCCCAGGAGATGAGTGGGGGAAGGGCAGACCTGCCAGCAGCAGACAGGGATCCTGAACAACCAAAGCTGTGTGAGGAGGGGTGAGTGACAGGGACTTCAGAAACAAAGGAGGTACATTCAACCAGTGTCTACGGCAGTCACAGTGTCCCCGGGTGCAGTATTTGTCCCAACCAGGTCGGCCCGTGCAAGTGTGTCTGACTGTGCAGACAATCTTAACTCTGAATAACACCACCACGCGCAGCTCTGGTCACACGATCGGCACCGAACTCTCCCTGCGAACTGACACTCGCTCGGATCTGTGGGTACAGACTGAGTCCTTTCTCGGCACGGCTCAACCACCCCCGTTAGGTCACCTGAAAACAATCACTGCCACACGTTTCAGCTCTGCACTTTCCAGGCTGTATTTCCCCTGCTCCGTAGAGGCAGGAGCAGGGAGCTCGGAGGAGTTACAAGTATTTACACCCAGCGACGTGAACGTGTCTCGTGATATACAAATCCACACGACGGAGTGACCGTGTAGAAGGATACATGTACATGGAATAAATACACAGCTTTAAGTGTCAGCAACACGTGTGCTCATATACACATACACACACGGAGAGGGAAGTGTGTCGTTTCTAGAGTATAAATATGCTACGTACTTAAATATTTCGGGGGGGGGGGCGGGTAACGGATGACAGCACAGCTGCTGGCAGCTCTATCTGCTAAAATACTGACTGCAGTTGGGGTCGCCTCTGACCTCCACGGACCCCGGGATCTTCTCCCTGCTCCATGGGTAGACACACCAGCAGAGCCCCGGCTCATCATCCAGCGACGTCTCACACTGCAGAGGCAGGATACATGAGGTGCACGGTCAGGGGTGGCCCCCGTGAAGCTGGGGGGGAGGGGCTTCGCCAGCACCACGGCTGAGCGCCTGGCCACGGGCACGCCAGCTCGCCGTGGCCACGACCGTGACCGAGGGCTCACCCAACACCCTCCTGCCCAGCTCTCCCTGTAAAATGGAGACCGAGGCCGAGTGTGCAGTCGACAAGGACGTCACGCGTGTGCGAAAGGGTACGGTGTGTGCACGGCTGTCTGGTCTGTGGCCCCAACAGTGGGGTCGCTGAGCCCAGGAGTACATCCCGTGGGTGGCTGCCATCCCCTCGGACTCCCTGGCAAATTCCTCATCAGGAAAGTTCTGCCTCCTCCTCAGTTTTCCCTGGCTACACCCCCAGAACCTGTGTTTCACTGAGTCCTAAAGAGCCCCTGAAAATGAAATGTAGGCTTGGTTTTGATCTCATGGATTATGTGGCAAGCTGGAGGATGCTACTGTATTTAACGAAGTTCGCGGTTTCCCGTTGTGGGGAGAAAGGCAGGAAGCCATGTCCAAGGGGACACCCGCTGTCCTAAGTCCAGCTTCCTCCTGTGTTATAGATGAGACAGACCTGGAGCCTGAGGGGCCCGTCCCCCACCTGCTCAGGCTTGACCCAGAGCCCCTGGCCGAGCGCAGGGTCCCCCGCTGGCCGTGACCACGGAGCTGGTCTTCAGGCTCCCGGGATCTGGCCGCCCCTAGTCCCGAGGGGTGGCTCTTTACTTAATGTGGTCAGTTATGGGGCTTTACGGTGCGTATTTGGGACTGGCCCCCTCCCCGGCGAGGAAAGCAGGGTTTTGCAGGGATGCCCCGGACGGGACGGTCCCCACGAGGATAGCCCTTGGCAAGGTGCGCACCTGTCTGCTGTGATAGAATCCGTTCTTGCTGCAGTTGGGCAGATAGAATCTGTAAAGCTGTCCTGACGACTGCTGTTCCTCGCTCAGACGGCCCAGCACCTCGTGGAGATCCCGATGGCAGGGCCCCTGGAAGATCAGGAAAGTAGACTGACGGGAGGGGTCTGGGAGGCTCTGGGGGCGGGCCAGAGCTGCCCCCCCAACCCGTCCGAGGAGGGGGCTGGCATCTCTCTGAGCTGTCAAGATGAAGGATGGGGTGCCCTCCCTGAACGCAGGCCACACAGCTGCAGGGAGACAGAAGCTCCCCCACCCTCACGGCCTCTCCCCTACCCCTCTGCCCTGTGGGGGCTCCACAGCTCTTCCCACAGCACAGAGTTCTGGATTATGAACACCTTTCCTCTATTTCATTATTTCACAGAAGCCAGATCAAGCAAGGATTAAGCTGTCCGCCTGGCACTTGGAGATAAGACGGCACTTTTCTTCACACTCCATCACTTCCAGATGAGACGCTGAAGCGTCGGGGAAATGGGTCAGAACCTCCGCTTTTCTGGGTGTGCCTGGTGGCCAGAGCAATGTTCTCACTCTTTTCCACAAACCAGCTCTTCGCGCCAACTCTGGTTCTTGGTCGCCCTCCCGTGGCAGAATTGGAAACAGCCATCGAATCGGATGGGACCAGGCAGTTTGAGTTTAGCGGGGACAGAGTTTCCGTGTGGGAAGATACACGTTCTCGAGGGGGACGGCGGCAGAACCACACTTTAATGTGGCCAGAATCATAAATTTTATGTTATGCGCATCTGACCACCATTTTTAAACGTGGACGGGGCATAAAGTCCTGTGCTGAGCTCCAGGGCCCGGGGCCAGACGCCGCAGTCGAAGCCACCTGGCAGGCTTCTCCGCTCAAAGTCTTTGCGGGGAAAAGCCAGACAAAGCTACTGTGGGCAGCGTCTACCCGTCTTGGGAAGGAAAGCATTGATTCCTGGGGCCCCACGGAGCCTGCCTGCCCTACTGGACACCCGCCTGGGCCTCACCTTCCACATGTCGACCTGAGTCCCGCTGTTCATGTAATTACTGATGGCGTTCCAGAGAATGTGTGTGTCGTCGTCAGAAGGGGCCATCAGGTGGAAATTCTCCAGGAGCTCCTCCTGGGTCATATCTGCACTCTCGGAGGACGATATCACATCTGAAAGATACAGCACCCGGACCCGTGAGCGCTCCCCAAGCACCTTGCCCGCCCCCTCAAGTGTATCCAGGTGGGGACCCCAAGGGTGGTCGAGCTTTTTTTTTTTTTTTTTTTACATTTATTCATTTTTGAGAGACAGAGAGACAGAGCATGACCAGGGGAGGGGCAGAGAGAGAGAGAGGGAGACAGAATCCAAAGCAGGCTCCAGGCTCCCAGCCATCAGCACAGAGCCCAACACGGGGCTCAAACCCACAGACCAGGAGATCATGACCTGAGCCAAAGTCGGACGCTTAACAGACTGAGCCCCCCAGGTGCCCCTTGCCCACTTCCTCTTTAAAGATGCATCAGACAGTTTCCAGGAAATGTGATGACCCAACAGCAATTCTGTGCTTTGGGGGTCTGGCAAGGGCCTCCTGGGTTTTTGCTCCTAAAGCAGCAGGTGGGGGAAGCCACTGGCTTTCCTGCAGGGCCCCTGGGGACCCAACTCCTTTGAGGACCATTGAGGTGACTCCATTTTACTGATTCTGAAGTTGGAGAACCAGCAGAAAAACGGGGTCCCTCCTCGGAAGGGTCACGCACCCTAGTGAATTCCTACCAGAGTACGGGACTGCGGGAGTCCTCGGAGAGTCACAGAGGACGTGCGTCCGCCTGCCTGCCGATGGGGAGGTGGGGACAGGGGGTAGAGGAAGGGGTGTTTCCTCTGCTTCCCACTACAAATAAATCGCTGCTAAATTCAGGAAAGGTCTGATTGTCCTTGGAGGCGACATACACATCAAACACTGTTTTTCTATGGCGGTGAACATAGCGAGGTTTACAGCCTGCGTTCACATTATGTTCTGTAAACACTGGGAAAGCACAGTCTGCACAGGAGTCCCTTACAAAGGACATTCCGAACCCTCCCCGGGGGTCCAGCAGGAGGGATCCCCACGCCAGGCCTCCCCGGAGGCGCCAGGCCTCCCCGGAGGCTCCAGGCCCTGGAAAGGAAGGCCGGCCACCCTCCCCCCAGCTCTCCCACGGGGCTGTGGGGGCCCTCCGCCTCTCCTCCCCTTTCCTGGGCACCTCCCGCAGGACCGCGGTGGTGGGGCTCGTCTGGGTGACAGAAGATCCTCTCCCCTTCGAGCTCTGGCCTCAGGCCGCTTTGCTCCCGACCGGCCACTCCTTCGGTGGAGACCCTGCCCCTGTCCACCCTCCCTAATCTGTCTTGTGGGAGGACAGGCCGGGGGGGGGGGGACCCCGCGGGGGCGTCTGTCGTACCTGTGTCACCACCGGTGGGCACGCAGGTGCCCTGGCCGCGGATGAGGGCTTGCAGGGGCCGCTGCTCCCCTGGCAGCGCCCGGCAGCTGAGCCCGCTGGCACAGCGCGCACTGGCCACGCCACAGGCAGTGCCCTCGGGCAACGTGCACAAGGAGCAGCAGCCGCAGTTGGCGGGCCGGGCGCTCTCGGTGCAGGAGTCAGGCACGGGCGGGCAGAGAGCCAGCTTCTCAGGCGAGCAGGGTGCGCACTGCCAAGGCTGGGGGGCCCCGGCGGTCGCGCTGAGCCAGGTGGCCAGCAGGAGCAGAAGCGGCCAGGCGCAGGTAGCGGGGGCCCCGGGCATTGTCAGGCAGCTGTGGCGGACGGACAGACGCTGGCACTGGCTGTGGGTGGTGGGGGCGCGGTGGCCGGTGCTCGTGCTCGGTGCTCCCTGGGAGCTGCGTGCACCTTATGAAGGGTGCGGGACGGCCCCGCCTCAGCCAGTGGTTAATGATTGCTAGCGCTGCGTGCTTAGGGCTGGTGTTCAAAATAAGTTTGGAAAAAAAAGTTTGTTTTGCTCGTGCGCCCAAGGCCCTGCGCAAACCGTGGGTGGAGGGAGGGTTACCGGTCCAGGTTTCCAGCCGTGTTTGTCCTGTTGTTACTGTTCTGACCTGGAGAAAAGTGCAATTGAAATCAGGAGCCCACGGCCAGCGCTTGCTTTGTTCAAGGGCAACCCCTGCCCGCCAAGCAGCGTGGTCGTCCGCAGACCCGAGGGGAGCAGAAGTCAGGAGCTGCGCGAGGCCAGCCCATCTGCCAGTTTTCAAACGGGGAAACCAAGGCCCAGGGAGAGGGAGGGAGGAGCCCTGGGCAGTTTTTAGGACAAAGCCCGTAACTACTTCTCCGTCTGCAGGAAGGCCTCCAGTCCCACGGCCTGCACTCATCACAGCCTTTCCCCTGAGGGAGGCTGGGAGGGAAGGGACATTCCCCCAGGGCTGGTGCCACCCTCCTCCCCAGGGTCACCTCAGCCCCCAGAGACCGCTCACTGGTTTCCAGAAGGGACCAGGACTCAGAGCCCACGAAGAAACAGGGCCAGGGCTGCAGAAAGGAGCCCAGACCCCGGGCTTCCTGACTTTCCCACGCAGACCAAATTTTTATCCAGCCTTGATTAACGAGTCTTTTTCTTTAGTGAAAACTGCCATTTCTTGGCTATCCTCTGAGGTTGCAAGGAAAAAACGTCATTGTACCTTTAAAGGCAGTGAGAAGTGGGCCCGCCCGTCCCCAGGACCAGCAGGTGGACGCCAGGTCCCCGGAAACCAGGCGGCTGTTAACAACAAGGGGGCGGCTCGACATTCACACATAGAGAAATTCCCAAGACCGGTGAAGTTTTATAAGTTAAGAATAATTTCCCCGGGACAGTACAGAATATGCAATGTCTGTATAAAAAAGGTAATATGAATAGAGACATGTCTCTGTGACTCTAAATTCACGGAAAGGGGGGAAGAACAGATAAGACACCGGGATCAGTGCCTGCCTTGGTGGGGACGGGTGAGAGATCAGGTCCCTGAGGGACTGGCCTCCCCTGTGCACACTCTTACCCTTCTGGATTTACGTTACTAGTGAATACGACACCATTTCACACAGTCAGACACTTGCATATCCTTCACATCATCAACCTCAAGAGTAACCAAATCACAGTTAACCTACCGGCTCCCCCTGCAGCTACTGGGCCGGGCCTGGGGCCTGGCGTAAGCACCCTCATCTTTGCTCTGCTGTATCCCTGGCCACGGCTCCAGCTACAATCAAAACAAGGTCGGCGGAAATCACCACAGTTACAAGTTCAAGGTCGTGTTTGTCATTATTTTTACAGAGCAAAGTTCAGCGTCTGGGTGAGGAGCCGAACGATGCTTTCGACTACCTGAATGCTAGTTTTCATGTGGTTTCCTCAATGATTCCATTCCCTCAAGAAGAACCTGTGCTCTGAATTTTCTCTGACTTGCCCCCCTCAGAACCTGTGGGGTCCACCTGAGATGGTCCCTTAAAGACATATGTGAAAGAGAGGGCAGTCTGATACACATTCAGGGCCCGCCTACTGTGTGTGGGCCAGTGCCAGCCCTGGACAGTGCACCCTGTTGTGCACTTGCCCGGTGAGGCCCCCACCCCCACCCCTGGTCTCGCTCGTCCAACACGTAGTGGAAGTTCCTCTCTGTGTAGGTTGATTTCCCAAATGTCAATTGCCACTCCTTGCCTCAGAGGAGTAGTAAGAAACCAAATGGCCACCAAACCCAGAGAGAATCTCTCCTCTTCTCTGGCCACAACAACACAGGTGGGGCGGGTCTTCCTGGAGGCCTCAGGGGCCGCCTGTCTGTCTGTCCTGTGGGTGGCTGCTCTTGCCAGGGGTCGGAGCCTGTCTGTGAATCTCAGGTCCTCCTGCCCCCCATGGGCGTCACGGCTCTGCCCGGCCTTCCACGCCCCCAAGTCCATGCCACCGTGACTTCTGTGACTCCCAGTCAGAGGCCACTTTGCCCAGTCACCCCTACTGGAGACAGGGAGTGCAGGGTGGGCCAATAGGGAGCCCCTATCGTGTTATGCACGTCTTACGCCCTCGCGGCCTTATCTGCCTCCCCTAATCCCTAATCCCTCCAGCAGCCACCTCTCCCAGCCTCCCAGCACCTGTCTTGAGTGTCCATCTAGCAACCTGTCCTTCCCCCAGCAGAGAACACGAAGAGGGGGGACCATCCTCGCAGTGCGCACAGGCACGGGGCCAGGCGCGGAGGATGGGCTAGCCGATCACCACGCGCAGCCTGGCAGGAGGGATGCCCCGTGAGGGCTGATGACAGGCTGGTCCTTGACATGACTGCTTTCCTGGAGAGTCCAGAGCGGGGCGGCCAAGAGCAGGAGAGAGGGCACCGAGCCATGCATGGGCACTTCCCACAGAAGGTGCCAGCCCAGGCAGGTCTCGGAGGAGAAGCAGGGCCTCCCCAACAGTAGAGTAGGTGAAGCAGGGACCAGGAAGAGGGCTGTGTGCTCAGGAAGGGACCCAGGGGTCTCCTGCCCAGAAGCTAGAAAGACAGCAGATGGAACAGGAGACAAAGGCCCTAAATATTGTGCGACAGGCTCAGGTCCTGTTGTTAAGGCCCAGAGCCACCAGGGGAGGGTCTAGGCAGGGCCAGGGGTGCTGGTCAGAAGAGAGCTCCAGAAAGATCCAGGGCGGCAGGCCCGGAGACCAGAGACCAGCACTGAGACCCTCCTTCTGATGTCCCTTTAGGCTGGGCGCCCTGCCCCTCTGACCAGTGACTACTGGACCCAGGAGCCATGGAGCCGGGAGAGCAGGGGCAGGGGGAGTGGGATCAAGGTTTCCTATAGACCCACTGTATGCAACTGGCGCCAAGCCATGCTCACCAGCGTTGCCAGAGGACCCTCCCTGGGATCTCACCATCTGGGGTGAAGCCCACTTTGGCCCCATCACAGCCTGTGGGCATCCAACGTCAGGGAGGGTCACAAACTCCACATTCAGCGGTAATCGGGGTGTATCTGCAGGGGCAGAGTGGAAAGGCAGCCTGGGGGTACACACGGGAAGCATTCTGTGTCGAACACATTACATCCACCAGGCAAGAAAGAACTTCAGCCTCGTGGAGTCCCAGCCACAGGGGGATGCCATGGCACCTCCCAGGAGACAGTCTCCACCTGCACAGGGCAGGAAACCGCTGATCCAGGTTGAGAAAAGCAGAGCGGGTGGCCAGTGCCCCCAGCAGACAGGACGTGAAGGGCCTGGGCCGCACGCATGGTCTTCGCCAGTCCCTTCTGGGCGCTGCCTGCCTATCGGCCTCTGGCCGCGGGAGCTGCGGGAACAGCTGTCAGCTGCTGCGACCGGAACTCGGGGCACAGCCTATGGGCAGGTCGGGGAAGCTCCGGGCCTCCCAGCAGGACTGTCTGCGCTGGCACCTGGGATTTCCACATCCGGGCCTCGGTCTCCCCACCTGTGAGGGGGCACTGTGAGCCCTGAACAAAGGGGCGGGGCCCCCACCCTGAGCTATAGCGTAGGACCCCACAGGGGCGGGGACATCGCCAGATGATGAAACCACACGGACTCTTCCGTCACCCAGGTCGGCCTCCACACCGCATGCCATTTACCCACCAGCAGCCGGAAAATTGGGCAATCCGAGCTCACAAAAACAATGCAGGGTCAAGGGCGCAGTGAAACTCCCAACGGGCGGGAGCGCGTCATCCAGAGGCCCCTCGCAGGGAAGTTGTTTTTAACCTGCGGGGGAAAAAAACAAAAAGATGTTCCCGACCAATACCGGGGATGATGTAAATCCATGCAAGCCCCCCCGGCGATGCCCGGTCCCCCGAGTGTGAAGGCACCGTCCTGACACGGAGGCACAGCCACTCCCCGCTAATCAAGGTGGGGATGTAGCCTTGCTCCTGTCACATCCACATAGCCCAGATGCTGGACACAGGCTCCCACTGGCACACCCGAGGCCAGTGGCCCAGGGGCCCCGGGAAAGGACAGGGCTTTCCTGGGCGATGGAGGGCACCCAACCCGCGTGCACAACCCGTGGGCCATCGGGGTTCCAAGTGCAGGTACGTGCGCAGTGCCCAAACATTCCTTCCCATGACCTGCTCCAGAACGTGCGACCCAAGTGTCAGGGCCTGGAGCAGCCTCACAGCACCCGGGCCTGGGTGGAGACACACATTCCCAGCCCTTGGGACATTGACTTGGGGGACCCCAAGCTCCAGCTTGAGCCTCGGGCTTAGGAACCCCCTCCGCTCTCGCTGCAAGCGGCCTGCGAGAACCCGAGGGCGTCGCTGGGGAGGGGGCGACGAACAGGGGTGCAGCAGGCGGGTGGGTGGGCTGCGCAGCACGGCGCAGGAGCCGACAGACCCCCAGCTCGTCCCGGGGCCGCCCGCCCCCTCCCCCCCGCAGGCAGACTCCCAGGGGGCACTAGTGCCCTTCACTGCCCCGCGTGAACCTGGGGCCCTGAGCGGCCGTCCGCAGGGAGTGTTCGGGGAGCACTGGCGGTGATGTCCTGCATCTCTGGGTCAGAAGTGTCCGCGACTCTGCGAGGAGAGAACGCTGCACGAGACTGACCCGGGGCCTCCTGGGGGGGGGGGGGGGGGGGGGGGGGGGCGGGATCCCTGCTCTGAGCCCTGGCCCGGGGCTGCGCTCTGCACCCAGTCACCTAACGGGTCCACAGCCATGTCGGACCCTCCCCAACCCGGAGGACCCGTCCACGGGCAGGGGGCCTCTCCCACCCGCGGGGCGGCAACAACGTGGGCACTGGTACGGCCAGGCCTGGGGGACACGGCTCCGCCAGCGGGGCGACCTGCTCACAGGACGAGGGCCGCGTGCAGAGGGGAGGATCG